GTTTTGTCTTTGTCGGAGTAAATACATCGTTGAGTTCTGATGAACCACTCGCTCGTGGCGGACGCGTCTCGAAGTCTCGACTCGGGTGCGCTATAGCTATTGTATATTTTTGAAAGTGGTGCCGACTTTGACCGAGCATTGAAACACACATAATCATCCCGCGGTCTTGGACGACCCGTTAGGTCGACCTGACGCGCGTCCTTGCGGCGTGACGACGCCGTAGACGCAGGCGCCCGGTGTTCGAACGGGCTTAGCCATTTTCGCGGGTGTTGCATCATTTTTTTAACACACGGAAAACAATCATAAACGTGATTTGGCCGTATCGACCTCCTATTTGTTTGGAGGCGGGAGCCATAATTAATTAAGAAGAAGAAGAAATACATCGTTTTTTACAATTTATTAAAAATCGTGCAATGTGTCGCGTAGTAATATATATACACAAATTACAAGATAGTGTTGAAGTTATTTATACTGTCCTAAATAAGAAAATTATATAATGTAAACGGTGATCATGGCCTCGTTACCCGTAAATCATACAGTTAGTGACACTACGACACAATTTTGTTCGTTAATCAAAAAACTACTTTCGTTAACTAGTACAAAACTCAGCAACAAGAAACAGATTAATGCATATTTAAATGATCTCAACGAGCTGGATTACAAATGCGTTAATATTATAAATAATGATGTAAGGAATATTTTATATTTTGTTGACTAATACAAAACACGTACTAGTTGCATCTCAAACTACTTTGTTATTTATTGAGATTACATTATAATCTATTTCCAGGCGATATTATTATTGGTGAATCAACTTTGTGCAGCAGTTCTACCTACAGAAACATCTTTAGTCCAAAATGTTTGTAAATTTCTGTACAATCTAACTCAGAACAACATCAAGCTTCATGGTCGCACATTTGTAACCTGCAAACGATGGATTTTAGAAGCATTGGAATTTTCTGATCTACTGGCACAAGTTGATGTATTAATCGTTATAAAAAGCTTTTTACATTTTGGTTATTTTAATAACATCAATCATGTTAGTATATGGCTTCTTTTCCAACAAACAGATTATTAAAAACTAAATTATTATATCATTATATAAAATTAGGCAACTGCTTAATGTTTCAGCATGTATGTCTGTTACTTAAAGATAAGGGTTTGTTAATGAAACATTTAAATCCATTATGTAACCCATGGTCTGAAATTAATTTCCATGCACTTGGATGTTTAGAAGAAATTATAATAAACAAAAGTAACAACCATTGCTTATCAGATAAATTTACATATTTGATAAAAGATATAATTTTTAGAATTTTATCACTTTTACCATATAATGATGATAAGCTTTACTACAGTAAGGTATGCAATTTATTTTTTGTGCAATTCAAAAGGTATATATGTATACATATTTCATCGAGTTACTTATACATTTATAGGTCATAAATTTATGCATGCATATTTTGCATTATATGATCATTGAAAAATTGATCCTTAAATCTCCTGATTTTATTGGAGAAATATTAGGAGTGGTGCAAGCATTCCTATTTTATGGCATCAAAGGTTATTCAGTTACAAGGCCACAATTACTTCGTCCAGCTGCAATGAATCTCCCAGAACGTGTTCACGTAGTTCCCAAATGCAAAAATCTTAAAAATCACAAAGTAAGATCCAGGAAAACACTAGCCAAGAAAAATACATCTGATTCGGGAAATAATGCCATTCCGGAGCACACAGGAATTTCCAAATATTCCAGTGATTCAGATACTTCAGATACAGAGATTAATAATTCTATCCACATCGATTCCAAAGTAAGATTGGGAGCTGTACGTTTATTGCAGGTTCTAATAGAAATCGCTCGGAGTAAAGAGATTTTCGGATACTGGCCACAAATCGTAGCTACCGGTTCACGAAACGACGCAAGAGTATTGACAAGAAGCATACTAGTTGAACCTGTATCTAAAGTGCGACAGAATGTATTGTGTGCATTAACTGAATTGTTAATAGGTGCTAAACCATTTTTAATACATGCCGAGGATACCAATCATACCTCTTTCATCACATTCTTTGGCACAGTATGTTTAATGGTCAAGGAACTGCATTTTACATTAGCATTAATTTTACTGACTGAAAAAAATGTAACTATGTTAATGCACGCATTAAAATGCGCAGCAGCTCTTGTACAGGGCACACCATACGAACGACTGAAACCGGGTTTGGCTACCAAATTAGTTAGGAATTGTAAGCCGCACATATTTCACAAAGGTACATCTTGCCTTTATTATTCTATTTAATTTTTAATTTATTACTTTCATTACAGTCAAGTTATTTTTCTAGATCCAACTGTACGAGTTGCGGCACTATCTATTTTTGAAGCATTTGTCTCAAGTGAACCTATAACGCAGGAAATATTAAACATATTAGCTAAGCAAACTATGGCTGAAATAAGATCAGAAAGTTTGCAGTTTGATATTAATTCCATCAGTGACGTTGGAACAGAAGAAGAGGAAATAGATGTCGAGGATATCGAAAATTCGACAAATAGCTGTAATGAGATCACATCAATATCAAAAGATGAAAATGCTTGTTTGTTGGTTCGCATTTGTTTACAAAATATATCTAATAAGGTATATATAAACGACATACATATTATACATTTTTTTTCGTGCGATTTATTGTATATTTGAAGCTTTTTTTAATCAAAGCAGTTGTCAGTCAAACTGAAAAAATTACGTTTATTTCATTTTAGTCGGTTAATACACCTGTACGACTTCAATCTTTAAAACTTATGGGCAGACTGGTATTTAATACAGGAAACCTTATATTTCCTCATTTGGAGAATGTGACTACAACTTTAATTTCAATTATGGAGGAAACAGAAAATCAAGTAATATTGCATGCATGTCGAGTTTTAGAGATTATGTCCGGTTGCCTCGCAAATACTGAAATTTATAGCAATGGTATATTATTTTGGAACATTATATTTGAACCTATAATATCACTCGCCCAAACATCACAGACCATATTGCGAGAAGCTGCTTGCGATTGTCTAGGTAGCATCAGTGGAAATGTATTTACACAATTATCGGTAAGAATAACTGGAATAAAAAGGATACAATTATCCAAATTTTTATTTTTTTCATTTATGTAGTCGTGACATTCATAAACTAAATATTTTTCATGCCATATATCTCTAATATTCTACTTTATTTTCATTTATATTTACAGAGACAAAGAGTTATATTAATAATTACAATTCTATTTGGAGCAGTTCGTGATGAAGAAAGTACTGTAAGAGCAGCCGGTTTACGTGCATTAGGAATGTTGGTAACTTTACCGGCTTTGGAACACGATACCGGCTTCCTCATGGATTTGGCTGATACAGTTTGTTCAGCTTTTGAGGACAAAAATCTTGGTGTTCGTGTAAAAAGTGCTTGGGCATTGGCAAATTTGTGTGACTGTCTTTCCAGGCAAAAGTTTGTTTTTCAGACTTCTTTCTTTATCTTCTTTGCGCACACATGTCTTCTCTATTTATATAAATATATCCTTTATCCAGACAGCATGAAGATGTGGAACCATTTTCTTTAGAAGATTTACTACCCAAACTATATCATATAAGCGTTAAGGCTACAAAAGATAATGATAAAGTGAAGTGTAACGCCGTCAGAGCAATTGGAACTATTTTATATTTATGTTCACAGAAACACATACTTTCCGACACGGCAATAGGGTTGGACGCACTTATCAAATGTGCTGTTTTAGGAAACTATTAATTTTTATAATTGTTTATGTATATATGTTTTAACTCAAAATAATTAAATTTATTTATAATCAAACTTATTATCTCGATACTTGTGCATTAAATGTTTTATTGTTTTCTGATGACAAAGTATGTAGCTGCAATAAATATTTCTTGATTTATTTAATAAAAATAAATTTTTTTATTTATAACATTAGGTACGATGGAACGCTTGCCGAGCCTTAGGATTGGTTTTGAGCCACGATCCAGACGCAATATTGCCATCTTCTTGGAAAGTACGTACTTGGAAAAATATAACTAGTAATTAATTTATTTATCTTGTATAAATGTTTAAAACTAGATATTTTTATAGAATCAAGTATTTCCAGCGCTTTCAACTTTGATATGCGATAGTCCTAATTTTAAAGTACGAACTAACGCCGCATGGGCATTGTCTTCATGTAATGATTACGGTAAATATACTGTAATGTTGTGGAAAAATATTGTATTAGCATTTGAAAATGCTCAACATGTACCAAGCTACGTTGAATATCCGCATCGAGATGCACTCATTCAGCAAGTAAGTGTGCTCTTTCTTATAATATATTATATAATATTCTTGGAATATCATTGTGTGTGTGATCATGTATTAATACAAAAAATATATTTCAGTTGTGTCTTACTCTTAGTTGCGTGGCTGCCCATACAGAAAAATCCGAACTGCAAAGTCTTTGGATCGAGATTGGCGACCATTTAGAAGAAATTTCCAATTTCATGAAACAATTTCAGGTATAGTATGTGTTATATAAAATATAATTATTAAATCAAATATACAGATGGAGGAACGTAATTTTATAATTTCGGTGTATTGAAATTTTGTTGTAGGAAACTATTTTACCTGAAAAACTAGGAGATTTAATTAAAGCAAAAGTCCAATTGGCACAACATGTAAGAAATGCACATTCTGTTGAAGAACGACAAATCGCTCAATCTTTGGCAAATATATTCGAGAAAACTAATCGCTATGACAATCTAGATACCATTACCTCTACAATATAGGATTGTATATACAACTAAAATGATGAACAAAAAAATAAATCAATGTAACATATTTTTTAACTTTCTTTTCTACCAGCTATTTACTGCAATTTACAATTTTTACTAATAGAGAAAGCTTGAGAACACACATAAATCAGTGGAATTAAAAATATATAAATTAGTAAATTAGTTATTTTAATATTGTCATAAAAAATCCATACATTGCTTTAAAAAATCTATCAATGTTCTAGTTTCCACTGAAACTCTCAATTCAGTTCCACTCTAGTGTAGATCAAATTTAGAGCAATATTTCTTCATTGAATTTAGACTTTGTGGATCAAAGCAGGAGAAATGAGTGCAGTCAATCGTATTTCCATAGACTGAGTGTACTCCACATTAGATGATTCAATGAAAACTCCAATCTCAAATTCAACAAGAGATATTGGACTATTTATATACATATCAAGTGCCATCTTCACATTGAATATTTTCGCTTGATACCTCAGATTGTGTCTTTAACGTATCTTCTTGATTTTTTCCCACAGGTAATGATGATTCCTTTTCTGTCACTGACGTTCCTTCACTTTCATTCATAGATACATTCTTGGGACAACTGTCATTTCCTTCAGTTACTTCACTATTTTCTACAGTTTTAGTTTCTTCATTCTCATCTGTACTATCGTCCTCACTATACTTTTCGTCCATAACGGCATTGTCTTCCTTCTTATTGCTAGCTTTCATAAGTTTCTTCTGCTTACGTCCCTGCTTCTTCCTCAATCTCTTAGCACGTTTCTTTGCCGTTGCCTCCTCTGCCAATTTTCTATTCTCTTCCAACTTCTGATGGTATTCGTCATCTAAATGTTCCTATAATTTTGACAAGGAAATTGTAATCAACAGAAAAAAGTGGATGACTTTTAGGCAACTCTATGTGTGTGTTAAACAATAATCACCTTATATGCCTTCTCCTGAATAAATTTTTGCCGTGCATACTCCTTACGTCGCAGATGTCTATACACATGAAACTCTCCACTACCTGCTCCAGCACTGCTACCCATAACATTACGAACAAATTCTGGTACAGAAGGTGTATTCTTAGCTTTCGGACGTTCCGGTAGTATAACCGGTTTATCCTGTACAATTAAAACATGAATTATATAATACAATTCTGATTCGAATACATAAATCAATAGATTAATACGGAAGCCTTCTTACAACGTTCTTCATTAATTTCATTAGTTTCAATCTTTGCAGATCCACTGCTGTTTTTGGCACTACAGGTTTTTCTTCGTCTTTTTCCTTGTCGTCCGACATTTTTCCACTTCGTGAATACGAAAAAGTGAATAAACTCGGCAATAAATCTTCGTAATTCTGATTCTCTCAAAATAAACTTGTTGGTTAGCACGCCAATAACGCCAATTTAGTGCAGGACAGGAATAAAAGACACAAACCTATGATCTTCTTCTTCTTTTTCTTAATTAATGGCTCCTGCCTCCCAAAAGTCTCCGGAGGCAATACGGCCAGATCACGTCATGGGATTTTTCAAAGTCGAATATGCGATACAGTCATTCAGAGTTCGGGAGTTTCGGCGCAATGTGACAACACAGGTGACAACTTCACGTTGCCACAGTAGCGCAGTCTATCAAGGCTACGAATCTCACGGCGGAAAGGCGAGCGGCGTAAACGCGCCGCTAGGACGGGATGGTATGTCGGGACCACGCGCAGGCGCAAAAGCGCCGCGAGTAGCCGTGGACAAGCGCCGCGAAAATACAAATTATAACAAACGATCACAGGCCAAACCAAAGCTCACAAATAATCGACAGATCTTTGCCGAAGGGTTACGCAAGGTACGAGTAATGGTAATGTTGGGATCTTGGGAGGAATGAGGTCCTCCTGATCGAGATCATTGAGAGCTAGCCGGATGGAAGCAACGTACGGTTCTGTGAGAGGGCAGAAGAATATAACGTGTGCGAAGTCTTGTGAGGGAGCTCCACAAAGGCATGAAGGATTGTCAATCAGGTTTTTGCGAAAAAGACTGTAGTTAAGATTAAAATGGTTACTCCTAAGGCGATTTAGCGTAGTGATCATGATGCGAGAGAACCGAAGATCATGAAACCAAGGCTTATTATTATGGGTATAGCAATTTTTAAAATAGTATTCGCCCGTAATCCGAGATGTCCTTTTAATATAACTATCAAATGCTTTAGACAGACGCATCCTCGGTATGAAGAATAAGTCGGAGTAGGGAGTCATGAAATTTGATTCAGCCCCCTCTCCTATAGCTTTTTTGGCTAGTTGGTCAGCTATTTCGTTACCTTGAATTCCGCAATGTGAGGGTACCCAAATGAAGCTAACCTGGGTGTTGCGGAACTTCGCCTCCTCTATGAGAGCCCTGATGTACGAGATAATGTAATTGTTGGTTCTATTGCGGAAACCCGCAAGGGAATCAAGAACACTTTTGGAGTCAGAAACAATAACTATACGGCTGAGGTCATTGTGAAGGGCAAAGAGTAGAGCATTGTATATGGCCCATGCCTCGGACGTAAACACAGACGCGTACGAGGATAATTTAAACATAAAATGGAGGTCAAGCTGGGGAGAATAGACCGCAGAACCCACATATGTACCATCATCAACCTTTGAACCGTCCGTGTAGAAGACAATGGCGCGAGCGAGCACGCGCCGAAAGATATCCTCAAAAATCGGTTGGATATTCTGTTGAGGAATGGTATCAAAATTTTTAAGAATATTAGGTGGTAGGGATAAATAGGAAACATTCGTACAGGTAGAGTAATATGAATTTTGATACGCAGGGAGGCCAGGCGTAATGAGCATGAGTTTGTTGTAGGACCACATATGAAGAAAAACAAGCGCCGCCGGAAAGTGAGTGCCTAAATAGAAAGAGCGGGGTGTGTTAACGACCAAATCGCAAATCTCCAGAAGCTTAGTCACAACCGGGTGATCCCGAAAGGAAATTATTTTAAGAAAGTATTTCGAAGCTAGGTACTCAAACCTTTGTTTCAAGAGGGGTTCCCTCGTTTCAGCATGCATCACATTTATCGGAGTAGAGTTACGGTATCCACAAGTTATGCGTATTGCCTGATTTTGTATGCGTTGCAGTCTAACTAGCGAACGGTTGTCATTAAGGACGAAAATAAGAGGCGCATACTCGAAAGAGGCATGAATCATCCCGAGCAGAAATTAGATCGGGAATGC